CCCCCCCCCCCACCTTGCCAGAGGGGCCCCCCAGCTGCCAGGGCTATGGGGCCAGGGACCTGGGTGTGCAGCTCCCTCTCTCCTGCAAAACCTCCTGAGCTCTGGCTGCTGGCTGCAAGAGGCAGAATCTCCTGCGGCAGAGTGGAGCACAGAGCCTGACTCCCCCACCCCTGTGGATGGCACAACCACAGCAGAGCCTGTTGGGGGAGTAGGGGCGGGCTGCCCACTGCAGGCTCAGCCTCCCCTCCCTGCTGCCCTCCCACCAGGGCCTCCATAGCCCAGCAGGCGGGACCCAGAGTGGCAGAGCAGAGCGGGGCTGGGGGGAAGCTTGTTGCTGCCACTGGGATCTTCCTGCTGCCATGGTGGGGTGCTCCCTGCCCACCCAGCAGCAGTGTGGGGCACAACTCCATGCCCCCAGTTCTGCTGCTGCTGGGTGGCCAGGGGGCACCTCATTATGGCAGCATGGGGCTCCCAGCTGTGGCAGTGAGCTTCCCTGCCCTGCTGTGCCCTGCCACATCAGGTCCTGCCTATCAGATTGCAGAGGCCCCCAAGGGGAGGTCAACAGGGTGGGGAGCCCTGAACCCATAATGGGCAGCACACCTCTGCCCCGTGCACAAATCTGTGGGGCACGTGCCCCCCCCATGCCCTCTGGGAGCTAGGCCCTCCCTTGCCCCTACCCCCCAAATGAGCTACCGGTGGCTCCATGCTGCTTCCCACCCAGACCCTGTGACCATGCATTCCAGCCGCAGGCCCCAAGCCCAGTGCACCACTCCATCTGGGTGCAGCCCCAGCCCCTGCCCAACTCCTTTCCTCCCTCACTATGGGAGTCTCAATCGCCTTCCTCTCCCACCTCTGCTATACTTACCTGCGGGAGCTGCTCTCTAGGCTGCCTGGCGATTATATGCATGTGTATGTGTGTACATGCACATGGCGCCCCCTGCCTGAGCACCCTCCTCCTACTCCCCCCAGCGTCTTGCAGGCTGGAGTTCTGCCAGCCTGCAAGGGGAAACCCACCTGTTCCTGTGTTTTTCTCCTCAGAATGGAAATCTGGGTTTTATTGCATTTTTCCATAATGAAGAGAGAACCTGGATCCCTGCTTATCATTAGAGACATTAAAGTGCAGGTCTGATAAATGTTTGTCCAAGATGATTTAGACGGGGATAATCCTACCTTTAAACAAGGGTTTGATAACCTCCTGAAGACTCTCGCCAGCCCAATTTTCCTATGATTCTGTGTGCTGTTAGGGGTGTGTTATACCTCTCCCAGACCTAGGACCATGTAGGGTCACAAGCTGAAGGTTCCCATTCAAACAGAAGTCACTTTGGACAATAAGATAGAGGTGGGGTTTGAAAAGTAGAAATGTCCCACACAAGAGCCTAAAGTATCTAGGATTTACAGGGGACCTTAAAAACTTAAACCTAAGGAATGTTTAAGATTTGTACGGAATCAGAGATGGGGACCTTCATATAGGTGTTTATTGCTTTGAGTAGACCTGCATATTTTTGTACTTGCTAAAGTAAGGAGTGCTTGGTTTCTTGGACCCCTTACAAACCTTGTATATCTGTTTGCTTTTGCTGCTTTGTATTTCTAAATAGATTGGAGCCTTGAGAGTGGGCTTGTTTAAGTTATTGGGGGGGTTGGATTGGCGTTCGGGGGGGGGGCTAGCTGGACTTTGATGTCCCATTTCTGTGAAGACAGTACAAAGAGCCAGTGCCCAGGAAGTGACTCAGAGGCCAAGGAAGGTACTCAGAACAAGAAAGTTAAGAACATGCAGGCCCAATTGTGATGACCCAAATGTGACTCCTGCTGAGTTCCAGGACTGTGGGAAGCGTGCATAGAATGGGATGATTGTTGTAGACCCACAACTCTTGTTTTAATATGTTTCAAACAGCTTATTTGGCCTAGGGAGAGTATTAAGCATCCAGCTGCCATTTATGCCTACAAAAAGTTTCCCTCATGCAGCACCTATGTTTTCTCTCTTATCTCTGTCATTTATTAAGGGATGTCCTGGAATCCAGTCAAAAAACAAGCCAATTCTAGTGATGTTTTAGTCTTCATCTACTTGTTTTATTCAGTTGCTAAGTCTGAGAAGGTTTTTGTTCTTTTTTTTTTTTTTTTTTTTGAAGATAAAGCACCTCTGTCAAAGAGTCTCTTATTAGTTCCAAGTGGCCTGTCGATTCTGTTGACTCTGCTCTTCCAACATTATCAGAAGTTCTTTGTGTATAATCTACAAGCTGTAAAAGAGGATTTTCAGGTAAGTGTCAGTTCATTTGTGAAGCAGTGGGAGGGCATTGCTAAATATTATCTAGCATCTGCAACTCTCCATTCTAATACTCACATAGTTTTCTTTACCTGTTGTCTTGATCCAACACTTTAATCTTTACCTTTACCACTCCACTGTAGTTATATAACCCACAGATATAAATTGCCAGACCAGGTTTACTCTCCTGCTAAAACAAACCATCTGTATAAAGCTTATTATTTCCTTTTGCTTGAAAACTGATTTTATTGTATCATCGGTCTTCCAGAGGAGAAATCTGAGTTTTGCTATGTATTGACATACTATTAATACCAATTTAATAGGATGATATTATGATATGACTATTAATATTTGCATTGTGCTCAGATATTCAGGTTAGAAGGGACTAATTTGACTTGTGTAACAGAAGCACTAGAAACTACCCAATAATTTCTTCATTTAGCCCAGTAAATTAGAGAGAAACTAGATTTTCTGTTTTAGAATGACATTTAATTTTGATCTAAAGACACAAAGTGATGCAAATCCCTGGGTAGCCAGATCCCTTGGTAGTCTTTTGCATGGTTAATTATAGGCACCAGTAATAACCTTTTAACTTATTTGTAGTTTGAACTTGGATTCCTTCATCTCCTAGGCTAGTGGTTCTCAACCTTTTGAGACTCAAGACACCTCTTGAGACACAGGGCAGTCCTTGGAAAGTGACAGCTTTCACTCATTTTTTACTATGGAAAAAGAGCAATTCTTCTGTTGCAAAGAACTCAGACTACAACAGGCCAGAATATTTTTCACACTGTGAATTCCTATTTGAAATCGCTGGGTTTATCTTATGAATCGTGTATGTTGTTTGCATGCCTGACTGTTAATATTGTATGGCATTCCATAACCCCCTTAAAGGGTCTTGTGGCAACCTGAATCGCTGTCCTAAGCATTAGATCCTGCAAGGTATTGGTTTCTTTAATTAAAGAATCTTCTACTGTCAGTGTTAAGTGACAATATATTTTTTGAAACCGCACTGTCTGTTCAGAAGAGAAGAGTTCACAAGTGGCTTTGTTACTATCTTCCTTAGTATTTTAGGCTTAAACATTTTAATATCTTGAAGATCTGGGCCTTAGGTTACGTCTGTACCATTTCCAAGCCAAGTCTGAGACGGCCACAGAGACAACGCCTAACCTACTTGCTTCTGTTCAGCACAGACAAAAGCCTGAAAATTATGCAGTATAGTCAGTTAAGAGTGGCCCGGCACAGTGCGATGAAGAAAATACTCAGGGCTGTTCAAAGTTGTGCCTAGAATATCTAATTTCAGTTTTGTGGCATGTACTAAGTGTGCAGTTCGTGCTTCTCAGAACAGAGGCAGTATAGAACAAGTTTTTTTGTCTTTAAGTCCGAAAAGGTAAATTAAAGTGTCAGAAAAGTTTGGCTTTTAACTGACTATTTTTGCTATGTAAAGAATATATTTGTGTGTTTGTTTTGTATTGTGTACTTACAAGATATTTTCTGCTTGGATTTCTTTGTTTATTTTTTTGAAGTTAGAAAGAAACTGTAATTTTCTCTTTTCTTGCTGGAAGTTTGGCAAAGGTCTGAGAGTCTCAGAATAGTGAAAAAGCATGAAGTTGCAACTTCTTTCTCCCTTACCATTAACTTAGCTTTCACTGTGGACATGAGGGGAAGCTGACAATATTCCATGGACTATTACTGACTCCATACGTTCATTTGTGAGGGGGTACGGATTTCATTTTAATAGTTGAGATTACATTTTGATGTACTGTTAGCATTTATCTTTTCCAAATATCTTGCTAACATTAATTTCTTTCTTTTGCCGAATTCCTGATATTTTTGGTATATCAAAATGTAGAAACAGACTGGAAAAGCAGATAAGGAAAAAAGTGTTTGAGAAAACGCACATTTTTCAGTATTATTAATAATTTTCTTTTTTTCAACTTATCCTTAAGAGGATCCTATAATCCCTTAATTTGCTTTATAATGTTGAAAAATACTTAGCAATAGCAAGTCCTGTTGGAAGTAGTAATCCTTTCTTCATTAGCAACACTACTATATACAAGTATCTCAGGAAAGCCTATTAGGGAATAATTTAGGGAGTTTATGTTTCTTAATTCTGTTTAATCCGAGGAAATTGGTGCAGTGTTGCTCAGCCATCTGTCCCTGCAGGCCACATGAGTGGTGTGGGGTCAGTCCCTAGTAGAGGTGCACTGATATATCAGTCCATATTGGATCAGCACCGATATAAGGAAAATTGATGTTATCACCAATTGGCTTTTTATGGCCAGTGTAGCCAATTAATGTCATGATAAATGCCTCATGCACACAGCTGTAACATGCAGGTGGCTAGGAATGCAGCCTGGTAGTTTGGAGAGCAGGGTCTGGCCAGTAAGTCTGTGGTGGAGGAGGGGCATAGAGGAGGGAAGGGTCGTGGGGGGATGCAGATTGAGGCCCCCATGTTGATGGATGGTGTGGGGCTGGGGCAGAGGCAGGGGCAGGCACTGCCCAGCCGGGGTGGTCCGGGGCACAGGATGGAGCTGCAGGCAGCTCATCTGGGGGTGGTGAGGGGGCAGCACCCAGCTGCTGCACACACCCCCGGGGGAGGCATGGGGGCATGTGCTCCCTGGATTTGTGCATGGGGCAAGGGCATGTGGTCTTGGGGCTGGGGGCTGCGTCAGCCTCTTGGCAAGGGGGCTGGGCCGGGGCTGGGCAGGGTGGGCAGCAGTGGTGCTGGGAGGGGGGGCTATGGGGTGGGCTATGGCCACCCTAAAATTTGCTGTAGCTTCTCCCTCCCAGTGTTACTGCCACCCACCCTGAACACAGCCCCAGCCCTGCACGCCCGCCGGGAAAAGGC